CGTTGGAGTTCTCCGTCACTGAAGCAAGCAAGCCTCCCTGTTCACATCAGCTGCCTGGCTGCCGGCCGCCATCTTGGCTGCCAGTTAATTTGCATATCTCGGCCCTACTCTGTGAGTGACAGGGGGATTAGCCAATGGGAAGGGTAGCGGAGTGACACTAATTACCATTTTTCTCTTTTATTGGTGTAGATAGTATCTGTGACTAGGCCAGTTTATGGAATGCCCATATGATGCATTTTTTTAAGGTTTCTGAGATTTCAATATCCCCAAACTATCCTCAGAGGATGCCTTAAAATCTACACTTAGACATTTATTTCTATGCATCTGTCATCACATTATCTTAGTTTCTCTTTTTAAAAAGAAATATTTCTGGCATAAGGTAATTACTTTAGAATGAATAACTCATTCATTTACTATCTGTACTAGCCATTGGAGCACTGGTCATGTAGGGATACTACTACTACTACTACTACCTAAAAACTGAAATTGGAATGACAGAAAGAGAAATCAGGGATAACAGAGATAAACTTTGTAGTGTGTCTAAACCAGTAATTATAGCATTAGCTCCCTTGGCAAGTTTCCTGAGTCTTAGGCAGCGGTTCTCAATCTGTGGGTAGCGACCCCTTTGGTGGTCGAACGACCCTTTCACAGGGGGCACCTAAGACCATCCTGCATATCAGATATTTATATTACAATTCATAACAGTAGTAACATTACAGTTATGAAGTAGCAACGAAAATAATTTTATGGTTGGGTCACAACATGAGGAACTGTATTTAAAGGGCCAGAACGTTGAGAACCACTGAATCTTAGGCATCTTAGGAATATGAACAACCATCTGAACAGGTAAGTATTTGAGAACAGACTGCCAAATACAAGAAAGGCACATGGTATGCCCTTTCTTCCTTTCTTGGCCTCTCTTCTAAGAACTTGGTTTCTTTTTTTAAAAAGAAAAACTGGGTTCTGTTGAAATATGTAGCTTCCTACCCCAAAAATGTAAAAAATCAGGTAAGAAACCATCTTGGGCATACCTGTACTTTGATCTAGAATTGATGGATTTAAACTAAGACATACATTTTTAAAATATATTATTTGTCATATCTATGGAAAGAAATTCAATTATATATCAAGAGAAGAGAAAGTAATAGAAAAAGTACTGAAGTGAGATGTGAATTCTAGACCTGCCCCTCCCTCAAACTGGCCATGTAATCTTAAAACAAGTCGCTTAATCTCTGGAATTCCTGACATTCTTTTACAGTCCCTCTCCCACATAAAGTGGAAGATAAAATAGACCATCCTACCCCCAGGATGGGAGCCCCCATAGGATAACATCTGTAAGAATACTTTACATACTGTATGTACATTGTAATATACAAATATAATAAGGATGACATTCCTCTTGATTAGATGGTTCACTGTTGACATTGAAATCAGAGTACCCAATTTCTTTCAGCTCCCAAAGTATGATGCAGAGGCTTAGCAAATACCAACAAAGACACTTTTCAGAAACCGGTAAGAGACCAATCCAGGAAGCAATTCAGCCCAGGAGCACTGGTTTGTATAGAAACTGCTTCAGAGTGACATCCTTGAATTGTACTGTGGGCAAGCCAACTCCCAGTTGGACAGAGAGGCCAAGGATACCAACAGGTCTTTTTATTTTTATTTTTAGGATTTTAATAAATACAAGTATAGCTTTCACTGTATCATCATTAATAAATCCTATGAAATTGGGATTTAGGGGAACTGCTTTTGTAAACAGGGATGATTAATAGCCATTTTATTCCTGTCTCTGAAAAATATTTGCCTTACTTAATTTCTACAGGAGTTGAGTACAGAAGGAAATTATTTCAGTTTAAGATAGCCTTGAAAAAGAGATCTATTTAATTGACTTATTCCCAATATCCTTGAGGATATTTTTATCATTACTGCTTCAATTTTATTAGTTATAGCAACACCTCCTTGTTATTGATGCCTTTCAGTAGATAGAATAAAAAAAGGAATGAACTGCTGGTACAGCACAGTGATTCTCAGAACCATTGTGCTAAGTGACAGAGGCAGACATAGAAAAGTAAATGTTACACGATGTGTACTCATTCATCAAAACAGATTAATTAGGAAGCTTTCCTTATCCATCTCTAAGTATGATTCAAAGTCCCTCTTCTGGAGTCCTGTGTTATATACCCTGCCTTATCTCTATAGAAAGATACTCTGATGCTTTACTTTTCTCTCTCTAGTCCTGTTAGCATATTAAAGACACGGACTCTATTTTTCATTCCTATTGACCAAATCAAGCATAATGTCAGGTTCTGGATACGCATTCAGTGAATGGCCAAGGAATGACTTTTCAAGAAACTGTAGATGAGTTCATTTCAGTTGCCAGCATTGCCAGATGCCGTGTCATCCATTCCCTCATTCATTATCCACGTCCTGCTGCCTCAAGGAGTACTCACACCACTCATTTCCTTTCTTTTTACCTTTTTTAAAAAAGCTTTATTGTGGAAATTTCAAACATAAAAGTAGAGAGACTGGTGTAGTGAGCCCACAGATGTCCATCACCCACCATCAATAGTCATCAGCATCCTGCTATTCTTGTTTCATCTATATTCCCACCACATTTTTTTGCTAAAGTATTTAAAGCAAATTCAAATCATATCATTTGCCCATAAATAGTTCAGTGTGTATCTCTAAGTAAACATTTTTTCAAAGCTTAATGTATTTCTTGCTTTTATTCTAAGCATGTTCTACTTTTCTTATGCTGTCTACATGACAATTTAGCCATTACAATTGTAAGTACTGCTGCCATGTTCTTTAAAATGTCTACTAGTCCTCCTTCATGCTCTACTTGGGGTTCTTTCCCCCCCTCCCTTTATATTGAAATGTTTAATTGCATTAAAATACACCTAATATAAACTGTACCATCTTAACTATTCTTAAGTATAAAGTTCAACAATGTTACATACATTTCACATTGTCGTGTGCACAATCTCTCGAGTTCTTTTTATCTTGCAAAACTGAAATTCCATCCCCATTCTTCCCTCCCCCAGCTATTCTGCTTTTAACTCTATGACTTTGGATATTCTAGATAGCTCATATTAATGGCACCAGTGATTTGGAAGATGAGTACAGTCTGTCTTATTAAAAAATATGTTTTTATTGTTTTTAGAGAGAGGAAGGTGGAGGGATAGAGAGATAGAAACATCAATGATAGAGAAACATCCATCAGTGGCCTCCTACACGCTCCCCCCACCCACTGAGGATCCAGCCTGGCATGTGCCCCTACCCTCCTGGAATTGAACCAGTGATCTGGTTCATGAATCAGTGCTCAGCCACGGAGCCACACCCCAGCCAGGCTCTGTCTTTTTGTTACTGCCTTAATGCGGGTGTCGCTTTCCGTTGTTTTTTAAGGCTGAACAATATTCCATTATGTGCAGAAACCACATTTTGTTTATCCATTTATTCAGTGGGCACATGGGTTGCTTCCACCTTTTCGCTGCTGTGAGTAATGCTGCTAAGAACATGGATGTACAAATAGCTTTTTGAGACTCTGCTTTCAATTTTGGGGGGTTATTTACCCAGAATAGGAATTGCTGGATCATAAGGTAGTTCTATGTTTAATGTTGAGGCACTGCCATACTGTTTTTCACAGCAGATGTACTGTTTTACATTCCTGCCAGCAGTGCACAAGGGTTCTAATTTCTCCCCAGCCTTGCCAATGCTGGGTTATTTCCTGGTTTTTTGGATAGCAGCCATCTTAATGGGTGTGGAGTAGAATAAGTAATTTTTAACTAGACTTTATTTTTTAGAGCAGTTTGGTAAACACTTTTTTAAAGTGTTATACTTTTATTATTACAATAAAAATATAATTATTTCCTTCACATCATCTAACAAAGAAGGGATTTCTAACCTGCTCTTCCCATCGTTTTCTTCATGTCTCTACTCTTCCATTTTCTCAGATCAGAAGCTGTGGAGCCAACACTGACTCTTCTACTCTCACCTCATATCGAATTCATTAGAAAAGCCCAACATCTGTCTAGGATCCCCTCACACACACTTCTCACCCTTCTGGCCATGGCCACCACCCTGGTCCAAACTATCACCTTCTCTCCTAGCTTAGTTCACTAACCATCCAAGAGATAAGGTTGCTATTTCAGTAACCTCCCTTCTTGTCCAACCTGGTCCCTGTTTAATATATTCTTATCTCAGCCACCAGCATCATCCTTTTAAGACAAATCTAAGATGTGACACTCCTCTGCTCAAAGCCTGGGGCTACTCCCCATTTCACACTCAATAAAAGTTAAAGTCCTTACAATGGCCTTGAGGCCCTATGTAAACAGAGCCCAGTTACACCTATGTACCTACCTGAGCTCTCATCTCTTTCCCCTCCTTCATTCTCCTTTAGCCATTGTGCCATCACTTGGTATTCCTTGAACACACTGCCATGCTCCCAGCTCAGGGCCTTTGCACTTCCTGTTCCCCTTGTCAAGAATGCTCTTTCCTCTGAAAGCTGTTTGACTCGCTTACTCCTTTGGCACATCAGCATCACAGGGAGGCCGTCTCTGAACACCTTTTTAAAAATAGGAATCAACCTTTTCCCAAGAATTCTGTATTCCCTTCCCCAGCTTCACTCTACCCCATAAACTTTATCATTATCTAACATATTATATATTCACTTGTTTATTTATTTTCTGCTCTGTAATTAAAGAATAAGCTTCAGATAGAATTCTTGGCACATACAGCTCAATAAATACTTATTGAGTCAATTCACTCAATTCAGTTTCTACATCTATGCATATTGTTGTGGTTGTCCCCCAGATCTGCATAGCAACCTGAAAAGCAAAATGAGACAATCTGCATCTTTCCAAAGCAAGAAGACTCATGTAAATTGGACAGATGATGAAAAAAGAATCTACAGGGATAAAAGAATAGCTCAAACTGAAGAAATACTGCAATATTTGATCCCCATCATGAAAAGCACGACAAATGTGAGAACCAATCAGATAAAACAGATATTCAAACCTCGCACCAACTTCCAAATCCAACGTCAATTGTAAGTCAATACAATTTTGTCATTATTAACTATTTAATACATTCTTCTTTAAGGAAACAAGACTAATTAATTCATTATCCTAAGAAAGAAACATGCGTGGGCAAAAGCAGGGGAAAGGGAGACACCCGCAATTATGTTAACATTAAAAATTTTTAATAAAAAATAAATGAGTAAATAAACATGTAAATAGAATAGTGGCAGCTACACCACATTGGACACAGGGACAAAGACCCAAAGCTATATGAAAATATTGGCTATATGAAGAAGTAAATTATCTGGCCTTGTTTGATTGTTTATTCACATGAAAACACTCATTAACTCAAATCTGTGACTAAAGTATGCATTAATAAAGTATGACCATAGACTGACTTGAAATTTCACAGATGGGTTTAAACTTAATAATCCTAGGGGGCAACTCAAGTTACTTCAGCTTATTGATACTCAGAGAAATACTCAGATTTCTTTTAAAGATAAAAAAATAGGACCAACACTAAGGTCAAAAGGAAACCTATATAAATTAAAGTAAGACAATGACAAGCTGATAATAAGAAACATAATACTAATATTATCAACAAATTTTGAAAAACTGCTTTCTATGTGCTAGACACAGTTCTGTGTTTACACATACATTTTACCTTCTACACATGAGGAAACTGAGGCACAAAGCAGTTACTTGTTCAAGGTCACACGGCGAGTAGGGAGCAGAATTGGAGTCAACCCAACTAGACATTCCGAGTCCAGAGTCTTTTATCACAATGCTTTGACATTTCTTCTTATAAGTGAAAAACAGAGGACCAATATACTTCATATTCAAAGCTAGCCTACAAATCAATGACAAAATTATGAACATTTCAATAGGAAAATGGGCAATTTCTATGAACCAGAAAAAAAAGGACGTGGCCTTTTTAATTAAACAATTGTTAAAAATTAAACCATTTTTAATTGTTTAATTTCACTTAAATCCAAAGAAGGCAAATTAAAACAATAGTGAAATGCTGTTCATTTTTGCCTCTCACTGGAAGAATTCATTCACTAATTGTTGGAATGTAAACTCACAGAGTTCCTTGAAGACAGTCCAACAATATAAAT